GTGATCCCATCATGCCGCCCAGCACTCTAGCCCAGGTTGCAGAGCTAGACCCTGTCTCAAAATCAAAATGTTTAACATAAACGCTGGCACACGACAGTGAGAAATCAAAGCCGCGTTCGTAGTCAGCTGATCTTCAGGAGGGAGGTTGGAAGGATTTTCTGACAGTGAAAAAAAACGCCACTGTTGTTCGTGTGCTTCCTCTGACTCTCCTTGTGTCCCTTTTCCAATTTTCCCAGCTGCTGGCTCAGCCTGGATCAGGGATTCATCTGGCTTTCCCGCCCGGTCTGTTGCCGTTTTCTGTGAGGTATGGAGCCCTCCGGCGTCCCTAGCCCAGGAAGAGCCGCGGAAGTGCCGGGTACAAGATAGGACGGGCGTGCGTGTCCTCTGCCGCGGTGATTGACGTGTCCACCTGCTGCCAGTCCCACCCCGTGCAGGGAGGGAGAGCTTTGCGTGCAACCTAAAGGGGACACTGCACCACCATTGCAACTTGCGCCCACGCTGCCCGTGTTGTTCCTGCAGGTGAACTTAGCATTTTTCCTCTCCGTCCTTTGGATTTGAAACGGAAACTTTCCTCCCTCAATAGCGAAGTGTCAACCATCCAGAACACAAGGGTAGGGTGTGACAGCTGGTGTTTCCCACGCCCTGGTTCTTCTACCCGCCCCTCGTCGTCCCACCCCCACGACACACACACACACGTGTCTACCCCACAACCACCCCGTCGCTCCAGACTAGCAAGGCCAGGGCCCATCTTCCATTTCACAGTTTCATGAACAACCTGCCATTGCTACAATGCAGCTGAGCTGCTGTGACAAAAAGGTCCCAAAGAAAGAAGGAGGTAATGGAAGTTTATTTCACTCTCATGCCACCGTCCAGCAGGTGAGCAGTCCGGGGCTAGTGGAGAAGCTCTGCTCCACAAAGTGACCCAGGGACCCAGGTTCTTTCTGTTTCGTTGCTCCGTCATCCCCTAGGAAGGGGGGTGACATAGAAGTGGCACATTCCACATTGCTCATAGCCATTGGCTGCGCCTTGGTCACATGATGGCACCTAGCTGCGAAGGAGGCTGGGAAATGTAGGTCTCTGACTGGTGGCCACATGCCCTGATAAATCTCAAAGGAGGAACGAGATCTTAACACTAAAAGAAAGAGGATAAGAAAGGCGGGAAACTGTCAGGTTCTCTGGCCATACTAACACAGGATGCATACTTTTTTTTTTTTTTTTTTTTTTTTTTTACCAAAAATAACCAGCTCCAGAGGCAGTGTCTCACACCTGTAATCCCAGTGCTTTTGGAGCCTGGGGCAGGAGGGATCTCTTGAGGCCAGGATTCAAGACCAGCCTGGGCAACATATGTGAGAGCTCTGTCTCTACAAAAAAAAAAAAAAAAATTAAAATTAAATGTAGCCAGGCATAGTGGTGTGCACCTGTAGTCCCAGCTACTCAGGAGGCCAAGGCAGGAGGATTGCTGAGTCCGGAGTTCAGGCTGCAGGGAGCTGTGATAGGCCACTGCACTCCAGCCTGGGCAACAGAGTGAGACCCTGTCTCGAAAATAAAAAAATCTGTATAGCAACTGCCTTGCAATAAGACTGTGATCAAGACGAGGGGACTGAGCTACAAGAAGTAAAGTGATTTACCGCGAAGGTCACACGCTTACCTAGTGCTGGCTTGAATTTAAAACCTGGGTAGTCGATCTTCAGAATCCTCGCTCTAGCCGCTACCGCACGATAGGTGTCTATATCCATTATTAGCTTTTGACAGCGACCCCATCTCTGGCTCCTCCCAGGATGCTGACACTTAAAGCGACATTTTCAGCTCTTCATCCTGGGCTGCACGTGGTGCCTGGGGCGTTCTGCAGGGCCCAGCCGCCCTCATTGGCCTACCTCTTCACCATCATCAAACAGCCTTCAGGGTTTCTTCATTTCTTTTCGCGTCTACTGCATCCTCAGCCAGCAGGTATAACACATGGTCCTCTCTCTTTGTTTTTTAAGCTTAAAGAAAACTCTGGTGGCTGGCGCGGTGGCTCACACCTCTCACCCTAGCACTCTGGGAGGCTGAGGCTGGGAGGATTGCTTTGAGGCAGGAATTTTTTTTATTTTTTGTTTTTTTCTTGAGGACAGAGTCTGGCTTTGGTCTCCAGGGCTAGAGTGAGTGCTGTGGCATCAGCCTCCGCGTCACAGCACACCTCCAATCCTGGGCTCAAGCGATCCTCCTGCCTCAGCCTCCCGAGTAGCTGGGGACTACAGGCAGCGCCACCATGCCAGCTAATTATTGTTTATATATATTAGTTGGCCAATTAATTTCTTTCTATTTATAGTAGAGACGGGGTCTCGCTCTTGCTCAGGCCAAGCAGAGCGAGATCGCTCGAGGTCAGGAGTTGGAAACCCAGCCGTGACAGCAAGAGGCGGGACCCCAGTCTCTAACTATAAATTAGAACCAATTAACTGAGCAACTAATATATAGGAAAAAATGAGCCGGGCATGGCTGAGCACATGCCTGTAGTCCCAGCCTGCTCGCAGGAGGCGCTTGAGCAGGACTCGGGAGGCTGAGGCAGGAGGATCGCTTGAGCCCAGGAGTTTGAGGTTGCTGTGAGCTAGGCTGACGCCACAACACTCTAGCCTGGGCAACAGAATGAGACTCTGTCTCAAAAACAAAACAAACAAACAAAAAAATTTCCTTCCTTTTTAAGGACTAATAATATTCCATTGTATGAGATATGCTACATTTTTCAGGAAAAGATCTTTTAGTAACAAGTCGCTGTCTTCTTCCCTTCTCACTGACTGTTCTCCCCTTCCTCTGATGTTGCAGGTCCGGAAACAATACCAAAAGTGGCTCGGAGAGATCGTGAAACCAAAATCTGAGTCTGAGACACTGACGCTTTCCAGCAAGTTCGGCCCTGACTCAAAACCCAGTGAGGTAAGAGACTTAATCTGATGTGCCACACACACACACACACACACACACACACACGCACACACACACGCACACGCGCACCCGTTGACACCCTGACCTTCCTGTCCTTGTCACATACAGCCTCCCCTTCCTGGAGGGTGTGAGCCCTGATCACCCGGCTTGAGTTCCTGGTTCTTGCAATCGGCACCTAGTGTCTCGGTGCCTCTCCCCTGCCCGCGGCGCCCGGCTGCTTTCTGCGCCCGCGCCTGTGTGCCAGGAGGCAGGGCCGAACCATCTGGCCAGCGCCGCCACAATCTGAGGCCGCAGCCCGCTGGGGGACTTACAAGCGCAGGCGTGGCAGGCCGATCGCCCCGCCCGCCGTCCTGCAGGGAGGAGGCCGTTGCCCACCGTGGAAGGGGCTGGGGCTCCCCCCCAGCGGCTCTGCGTACTGCTGAAGGAGGGGTGCGGGAAGCCGCGGGCCTTCCTGGGCGAGAAAACGGTCCTCTTGAGGAACGGAAGAGGAGCCCTCTGGAACTGGGCTGCTGGTACTCGTCCGCTCTTCCCTTGAGCTAACTCCGCCTCGGTGCACCAAAGAATGAGCTTCCAGCCCCCTGCGAGACTTCTCCCCATGCGTGTCCCTATTCCTCCTTTTGGAGAAACCATAGCATATGCTGCTAAGAAGATATATCCCTGGATCACCACGATGGGCTCCTAAGCTCTAAATCTGTAGAACCTCTTCCTGCGGCTCGGTCCCACACCTCCCACGTGCACCCCCACCACATCCACCCACCAAAGACCCTGAGAATGTGCTGTTTTTTTAAGTTAAACTACATTGAGAATCTTCTGATGAATCACCTTCAACCTTCCTTGAGATACTATGTGATTTTCCTCAGCAGCGGAAATATTGAGGTCGCTAAAGAAACACCTGTCTTTAGTTTCAAGTCTGGGCACAGTGGCTCACGCCTGTAATCCCAGTACTTTGGGAGGCTGAGGCAGGAGGATCGCTTGAGCCCAGGAGTTCAAGACCAGCCTGGGCAACATAGTGAGATCCTATCTCTTAAAAAAAAAATAGGGAGGAAGGAAGAGAGAGAGGAAAGAAAGAAAAAGAAGGAAGGAAGGAAGGAAGGAAGGAAGGAGAGAGAGAGAGAGAGGAAGAGAGAGAGAGAGGAAAAGAAAGAGATGAAGACAAGAAGGAAAGCAGAAGAAAGAGAAGGAAGGAAGAAAGAGAGAGAGAGAGAGAAGAGAGACGGGAGGAGAAGAAGAAGGAGGAAGAAGGAAGGAAGGAAGGAAGGAAGGAAGGAAGGAAGGAAGGAAGGGAGGGAGTGTATCTTTGGGTTTTTTTTTCTTTTTTTCTTTTTTTTCTTTTTTTTCATTTTATTATTTTCTTCCTTTTTATCTTTTTAAATCTCTTATTATGTTGATTTTTATTTTAACTTTTGTTGTCATTTTTTCCGTAATTTTGTGACTCATCCCTTCTTTTTTCTTTTGTATTTATTTTTGTTATATTTTTCTATTTTTTCATACTTTGTATTTTGTAAATATTTTCTTCGTTATTTTATTTTATAACTCTTGAGATGAGTGTGTCTTTGAAAAGGAAAATATAAAATAAAAACTATGAATATCTCTTTAGGAAATACATTAGGCTGGGTGTGGTGGCTCACACCCATAATCCTAGCACTCCAGGAGGCCAAGGCAGGTGGATCGTTTGAGCTCAGTTCGAGACCAGCCTGAGCAAGAGCAAGACTCTGTCTCTACTAAAAATAGAAAGAAATTAGCTGGACAATTAAAAATATATATATATATTTTAAAAATTAGCCGGACATGGTGGTACATGCCTGTAGTCCCAACTACTTGGGGGGCTGAGGCAGGAGGATTGCTTGAGCCCAGGAGTTTGAGGTTGCTGTGAACTAGGCTGATGCCATGGCACTCTATACTATGGTCTTGGTCTATAGTATATCTGAAAATTTATCAAAAAGAAGAATTCTTCATCCTGCATTTTTGAGAAGTCCTCTTCCTGTAAGCTAAATAAGAGTACACCAGGATTCTATTAATAAAATGCTAGGAGATCAAGCCATCCTTGCCTGTTGGCTGGAACTGGCTATACCTCACTCATGCTCTGTCTGTGTTGCTGATGTTTGTTTGTTTTATTTTATCCTTACAACTACCTTTAATCTAAACATCTTTTTTTTTTGGGGGGGGGGATGTTATTCCAGGACAAGTAAAGAGAAAATATTGAAATGAGAACATTCAGCTTCGTATGAAAAAGTCATTACCCGTGGATCTCATTGGCAGCATGAAGAACGAAGCTGAGGACAAGGGAACTCATTACACGTATCATCCTTAGAGAGGAAATATTTAACCTTTACTTCCTGAAGTGTTTGCTCTGCATAGCAGGCTCTCAGTAAATGTGTGTTGAATCAGATTTCTCTTTGCTATGATGTGTCCAGCCAATGATTGTCCCCGAATACCCAAATCATGGCCATTGCAAATAGTTCCTTGACCTTTTATAAATGGGGAGGCCCCTTTTCTCAAGTTCTTAGTCTCATTTGTCCAAAACTTACTCTTTAAACTGATTAATTCCTTCAAACCACTGGCTTCCTACTGGCTTTCCCTTCTTCCTTATGCAGGCTAAGTCTCACCACCAACCATGTGAAATGATTCTGTCTTACACTTTAAACACCAAGCTTTGTAGCTTGGTCCAGTGGCCCACACCTGTAATCCCAGCACTTTGGGAGGCTGAAGTGGGAGGATGGCTTGAGGCCAGGTGTTTGAGACCAGCCTGAGCAACATGGAGAGTCCCCATCGCTACCAAAAAACAAACAAACAAACAAAACTTTGTAACTTTATTCTGATTGCACTTATGGAAAATCTCAACCCAGAACCCATGCAACGATGGCAGACGCTGTGGATTGTCTACTCACCAGCCATCACCACCACCACCCTTTCCTTATTAATGGAACATTGAAGGCGCGGTGGCTCACACCTATAATCCCAGCACTCTGGGAGGCAGAGGAGGGAGGATCACTTGAGCTCAGGAGTTCAAGACCAGCCTGAGCAACGTAGCAAGACCCTGTCTCTAAAATAAAATAGAAGAATTAGCCAGGCATGGTGGAGCACTCCTGTAGTCTCAGCTACTCGGGAGCCTGAGGCAGGAGGATCACTTGAGGCCAGGAGTTTGAGGTTGCCATGAGCTGTGATCATGCCACTGTACTCTACACAGTGAGACTCTGTCTCAAAAAATAAATAGGCAGGGTATGATCTCCCCTGCTACACACAAGGTTCCATTCTCAACTTGCTTCTTTTTTTTTTTTTCCTTGAGACAGAGTCTCGTTTTGTTGCCCAGCCTAGAGTGAGTGCCGTGGCATCAGCCTAGCTCACAGCAACCTCCAACTCCTGGGCTCAAGCGATCCTCCTGCCTCAGCCTCCCGAGTAGCTGGGACTACAGGCATGCACCACCATGCCCGGCTAATTTTTTCTCTATATATTATTTGGCCAATTAATTTCTTTCTATTTATAGTAGAGACGGGGTCTCGCTCTTGCTCAGGCTGGTTTCGAACTCCTGACCTCGAGCGATCCGCTCGCCTCGGCCTCCCAGAGTGCCGGGATGACAGGCGTGAGCCGCCGCGCCCGGCCCTCAACTTGCTTCTTACTTGAGAAGAGAAGTTCTAGGAACTTTGGCAAAAGTTCACGACCCACCCATATTTCAGCGGGTCGTGTTCGTGAGCATGTTTCCTTCCCCATCTCTGCGAACGACACCTCCCTCTTTCCCGCGGCTTAGGCTGAAAACCCTGCGGTCATTGTTTCCTCTTCTCTTTCTCTCCACCCCACATGGAATCCTCCAGCAGGTCCTATCAGCTGCAGCTTCGAAACAGACCCAGGACCCTTCCACCCTTCCCGGCTAGCCGCCTGGCGATCGTCGCCGATCCCCTGCGCTGTCCTCAAAGCCCCGGGAGAGCCACCGGGATTACGAGCAGCAGACCCAGAACTCGGCCCTGGTCTCTTCTCTCAGCCCAGGGCGCCCGTTCCAACCACACCGCACCCCGGAGTCAGGGACCCCGCCCCATGAGTCAAGCCTGCACCCCTCAGAGGCCAGGTGCTACGCAAAGAGACCAACCACTGGAGGCAAAGCCAGAGCCCGAATCCCAGCTGCGACATGAATCCACTAAATGACAGCAGACAAGCCACGAGGCCCCTCCGGGCCTCAGTTTCCCCAGCTAATAAAATAGCATTGGAGTAATCCTAGCACTCTGGGAGGCCGAGGCAGGCAGATTGCTCGAGGTCAGGAGTTCAAAACCAGCCTGAGCAAGAGCAAGACCCCGTCTCTACTATAAATAGAAAGAAATTAATTGGCCAACTAATATATATAGAAAAAATGAGCCGGGCATGGTGGCGCATGCCTGTAGTCCCAGCTACTCGGGAGGCTGAGGCAGAAGGATCGCTTGAGCCCAGGAGTTGGAGGCTGCTGTGAGCGAGGCTGACACCACGGCACTCACTCTAGCCTGGGCAACAAAGAAAGACTCTGTCTCAAAAAAAAAAAAAAAAATAGCATTAGAAATTACCCCAACCCTCACAGAGTCACGGAGAAGATTAAATGAGAGCCGCTGCGTACATACGTGCATGTCTCTAGCACGGGATACTCGCTAAACCTGCTAAACCGTGACCAGTAATGTGTTTTATCCACCAAGAGCAGCCAGCCTTTGCTCCCCAAGACCCGCAGCGGCGAGCGGGCCCTCCCACGTCGGCCTCCGTCTGCGGAGAGACCGTTGGGAGAGGTGCAGGAAGGAGGCGGGCCGGGGTCAGACCCACGGGGCGCCCCCACCCCAGCGCAGCTCTGAGACTCGACCTCAGGCCCCTGCTTCCCCATTTCTCAACACACATATTAGAGGAAACTGAAGTTCCCGCTTCTGAGACCTGAGAACTTCCCCGGACTCCAGAGAAACAGTCGCTTGGGCCAGTAGTCCCCTGGGCGGAGGCTCAGAATATGTCACCCACCCACCCCGCACAGGCTGGGACGGCACAGGCGCCGTGATGATGAGGCCGGGGCAGGTGCACAGGTGGGAGGAGATGAGAACAGAGAAAACAGGAAGTGAAGTGACCCCAACCCCCCCCCATGGCCCTCCTTCTCAGAGCCCCACCCCCGCCCCGCTGTAATCACCTGCTGTCCGTGTCAAAACAGGAAAGATTCTGCTATTAGTCACGGGCACTGGTTGATGAGCACGCTGATGGGTTCGAGAACGTCTACCCCCATTCCTGAATACAATTCGGGGACTGTCATGCTGAGTCGCGCTTAGCTGGGAGCAGTACTACTAGTCTCCTCTAGGTGATGATTTTTTGGCTGTCACAATGATCAGTGGGGCACTTCTGGCATTTTGTGAGTGTCACGGGCTGACCTGGGTCCCCTGAAAACACCTATTTTGAAATCCGAGCTCCCAGAACCTCAGAATATGACTGTATTTGGAGACACAGTCTTTAAAGAGGTAATGGAGGGCTTTAAAGAGATAACTGGGCGCGGCGGCTCATGCCCGTAATCCCAGCACTTTAGGAGGCTCAGGTAGGAGGATCACTGGAGGCCAGGAGTTCGAGACCAGCCTGGCAACATAGCAAGACCCCATCTCTACAGAAAGCAGAAAAATTATCCGGGCATGGTGATGTGCGCAGCTGTAGTCCCAGCTACTCGGGAGGCTGAGGCAGGAGGATCGCTTGAGCCCAGGAGGCGTTCAAGGCTGCAGGGAGCTATGATTGCACCACTTCCCTCCAGCCTGGGCAACAGAGTTAGACCCTATCTCTAAAAAAAAAAAAAAAAAATAGAAGAAGAAGGAACTAGAACATGAGGCCACAAACACACACAGGGGAATGAACACGTGGAGACACACAGAAGAGGATCGCCCACGAGCCAAGGAGAGAGGAAGCCCCAGCAGAAAACAACCCACACCCTGGTCTGAGACACCCAGCCTCCAGAACTAGGAGAAGATAAATTTCTGCCGTTTAAGCCACGCGGGACTCTGTTGTGGCAGCCCCAGCAAAGTCACCCCCAGTGGGCAAGGGCCACCCAAGGAGGTGGCATTTCGAGAAGCACGAACATGGCGAGAGCCGGTCGCCCAAGAAAGTCCACACAGCAGTAGAGCGAATTACATCGTCAAAGATCGTCACAACCCACGGCCAGCCCACGGGCATGCAATGTGGCAGGCGTCCCCACCGTCGTCCTGTGGATCTGACCAAGTCACGGGCTGGCCCGGCCACGCTGTGTGTGTGTGTGGGGGGGTCTTGCTTTTCAGCTGGTATACCTTTCCAGAAGTTCCACGGGCCAGGGCTTGGCACCCGGCTTGGGCAAACGTCGCCCAAGATGCCAAGAGGATTGCTTGTCACGAACAGTCCTGCCCCATCTGCTTCCCAGAAGCCAGTCCGCTGAGACAGGCAGTAAGGGAGCCCTGGGCGGGGGTGAGGGGGGCTCATCACTTGCCAAGAGCCATGATCGGAGCTTGGGGACCCCGAGGTCGTGAGGAGGCAGGGCCTTCCGGGAAAGGGCAGCAGGAGGGTGCCGACTCTAGGAGCGAGGGACACTCGGACACGGACCCCCAGCCTCAGCCTTGGGACTCAGCAGGAGCACTTCCGCTCACAAATCCAGTACGTAGTTTTCTCGCAAGAGAGATCATTCCAGCCGCCGCCTCTGTTCATGCTGGCACAGTCCTCTTCGTTCATGTTGTTGGGCTCCTCAGGGTCCCAAAAGCTGTGGGGGGGGGAGATGCGGGCAGGGAGGCAGGACTTTTAGGGTGGGGAAACTCTTCGCACGATGCACGCAATTACGCATCTGTCAAAGCCCATAGGACTAGCCAGGTGCAGCGGTGCACACCTGTAGTCCCAGCTACTCAGGAGGCTGAGGCAGGAGGATCGCTTGAGCCCAGGAGCTCGAGACCAGCCTGGGCAACATAGCAAGACCCCATCCCAAAAATACATATATGTATAATCATAGAACTGTACGGCACAAAGAGTAAACCCTAATGTAAACTAGGGTCTTTAGTTTTAACAATAATGTAGTAATATAGGTTCATCAATTATAGCAAATGCATCACACCAATGCAAGATGCTAATATAGGGGAAACTGTGTGCAAGAGAGGTGGGGTGTGTAAGAAATCTCTGTACTATCTGCTCGATGTTTCTGTGAACCCAAAACTGCTCTAAAAAATAAGCCTATTAATTAAAAAAAAAAAAAAGAATATGAGGCCGGGCACAGTGGCTCACATCTGTAATCCCAGCATTTGGGGAAGCCAGGGTGAGAGGTCACTTGAGGCCAGGAGTTCCAGACCCGCCTGGGCAACATAGCGAGACCCCCATCTCTATGTTTTATTAAAAACAAAAAGTCGACACAGCCGTGCTAGTGAGAATGGGCTCCTGACTGCAACCATGCACCCCGCTGCCTTCTCCCCTCCCCGTGTTCAGGGCCCACAGGGGAAGCAGAGAGACCCCGGGAATTCTGGGCACTTGCCTTAGCGTGACGGGTGACCCGTCCAGCCACCTCCAGTCCCCTTCTTTGTTCCTGTCATGCAGCCCCAGCCAGTACACCCGTGGGAAGCCGTTAGCCTTGGCCACAAAATTCTGCAAGTACAACCTTCAGTCAGCCGTCTATTCCTCTATGTGACCTTCAGAGCAAGGGCCTGACCTTGACACTGTCCGACCACAACCCCTTCCCCGAGCAGGATCCACACGCTTCCCGGGAAGCGTGTGCCGGGAGTGATCGGGCTGCTTTTCCTCCCGCCATCTGTGCACCACTCTGTGCCTCGATTTCCTCGCCTGTAAAATGGGATCGCAGTAGCTACCTCCTTGTAGGGTTTTTGTGAGGATTAAATGGGTCAATACACCTAAAGTGCTCAGAACAGTGGCTGGCACCCGGCAAGCACTGTGACACCTTAACACGTAGCCTTATAACATTTAAGTAACATTTTTAGCAGTAGTAACTGATTTTTTTTTTTTTTTTCAGTTTTCCTGGGGCTTTTGCCCGACCCTGCGACCTTAATGTGCATCCAGGCAGCCAGGGAGTTCGTTGCTTCAGGAATACAGCAAAAAGGGGAAGAAAAGTAGGCTTCCTGGCTTTGATAGTTCAAAAGCCCAGGGCTTTGGAAGGAAAAAAAAAAAAAAGAACGTATGTCAAAGACAAGAAGATTGGGAAGAAACTATGGGTTTAAAAGCAACTCCTAGGGCCGGGCGTGGTGGCTCACACCTGTCATCCCAGCACTCTGGGAGGCCGAGGCCAGGAGTTCGAAACCAGCCTGAGCAAGAGCGAGACCCCGTCTCTACTATAAATAGAAAGAAATTAACTGAGCAACTAATATATAGAAAAAATGAGCCGGGCATGGTGGCACATGCCTGTAGTCCCAGCTACTCGGGAGGCTGAGGCAGGAGGATCGCTTGAGCCCAGGAGATTGAGGTTGCTGTGAGCTAGGCTGAGGCCACGGCACTCACTCTAGCCTGGGCAACAAAGTGAGACTCTGTCTCAAAAACAAAAACAAAATAGAAAGTCCTTGCTGTTTCTAGACACCAAAACAAGGGCGGCTTAAGAGGGAGCTCATCTGTCTTGGCCATTGCCGGGTCCCCAATATATAGGCTAGTGTGTGGCACACAGTAGGTCCTCGGGAAATCCCAGTTGAATTAATGAATGGAGAAGTGAGCACAGGTGATCTCATTGGACCCTCATCGTGACCCACTGAAGCAAGTATTATCATTATACCCATTTTTTAGATGAAACATCGAGGCAGAGAAGTTAAATAACTTGTCTAGGATCCTTCAGTCAGCGGATACCCCAGTGGGTATCAGTTTGGGGTGAAGACATGAAGGACCAGATGTGTGTGCTCCCCTCCACTGTGACCCCACACAAGCTTTCCCCATTCAGAAGAAGAATAGGGGACCTACCCCCCCCCAATTAACTGAGATTAAATGTCCACCATCCTGGTATGATGGCAACTCAAGAGAGAAAATAAAAAAGAGTAATTTAAAGGAAACAAAGCTGTATTTCTTGTGAACCTGAGTTTAGGGAATATGAGGTGTACCTGGCCCATTTTCATTATCTAATGGAATCCCTTCCAAAACACTCTGTTTAGCTACTCATACACATGATACTCTGACACAGGGATAAAAAACAAGGGGGACATACAGGAAAAAAATAACAATAAGATAATAGACCTAAATCCAACCAAATCAACGATTGTATTAAATGCAAATGGTCTAAAAACACCAACTAAAAGCTATAGATTGTCAGATCAGATTTTTAAAAACCCAAGACCCAGCTATATACTGTCTACAAGAAACTCATTTTAAATATAATGTCATAAATTGAATGAAAGTAAGAGAATGGGAAAAGATCAACCACGCAAACACTAATCAAATAGCGCTATAATGTTTATGGTCATGATCGCTGAGCGTGAAGCCAGCTACCTGCACTCAGATCCCAGCTCTGACACTTACTGGTTTTTTGAGTGACCACAGGCAAATTGCTTACGTGTGCTGTGCCTCAGTTTCCCCACCTTTGAAGCACAAATTATATGTACTGTGCACAAATGGTAACACTACCTCATCATAGTAGTACTAAGCCATTGAAACTGCTCACAAATATTCCAGTTCTACTTCTGGATGCACACAGACAGGAATTTATTCTTCTACCGTCTTAAAGGATAGGAGTGTCCACGTGACTTGCTTTGTGGGTGCCTCACACACACCCATCATTAGGCCCTGGGGATTGTTACTGCTGCATAACGTACCCTCTTTTGACCGTACACTGATTTATAGGGTTGTTGTGAGGATTACAAATGTTCATGCATGAAAGTGTAAGGTGTTTGTAATAAAGTCTGAAAAATAGAATGTGCTGGAGCTGCTGTTTAGCCAGGTGGCAGTGGCTCATGCCTGTCATCCCAGCACTCTGGGAGGCTGAGGCGGGAGGATCGCTCGAGGTCAGGAGTTCAAGACCAGCCTGAGCAAGAGCGAGACCCCCATCTCTACTGTAAATAGAAAGAAAATTAGCCAAACAACTAAAAATAGAAAAAAATTATCCAGGCATGGTGGCGCATGCATGTAGTCCCAGCTACTCGGGAGGCTGAGGCAGGAGGATCGCTTGAGCCCAGGAGTTGGAGGTTGCTGTGAGCGAGGCTGACGCCACGGTACTCACGCTAGCCCAGACAACAGAGTGAGACTCTGCCTCAAAAAAAAAAAAAAAAGAAAGAAAAGAAAAGAAAAAAATAAAGAAAGTGCTAGCTACGAGACGCCACTATTATATTTCCATGTTAGGGATAAAAGTGAGCCTTGCGGAAGTTAAATGAACACAATTGGGATTCGGACTCAAAGCACATCCTTGTAACTTCTGCTTGATACTATCTCAGTAAACTGAGTTTGCTATTAAGGCTTTAGTAGCTCAAAGGTGATTCTAATTTCCCTCCATGCAGGGAGGGGAAGGACGGGTAAATCCTGGAGGGAGGCAGGCCGGCCCTGCCGGTTCTCGGAGACTTAGCGGAGGCGGCTCACCTGCTCGGCGAAGCTGCTGACGATGACCAGGTGAGAGTAGTTCTCCTGGCAGAACTTGCGTGCTTCCTCCCACGACTTGGTGTCCGGGGAGAAGTAGTAGCACTTGCCTTCGAAGTGGAGCCAGCCTTCAGGACAGGTGACTCTGCTGCGACCGTCTGGAAACAGGACAGGGCGCTGAGCCAGAGCGTGCACACAGCACGCCACGCACAGCTGCGCAGGCCCGCGTCTCTGGGCAGCGACGCCACTCACCTAACAAGCCCCGAAGTTCCGCCAGGGACTGGTTGGTGTCGGCTCTGGCGCGGTCAATGTCCTTCTTCAGGCCCGCCAGCCCCGCCATGCCGGTCACTGTCAGGAGGGACGGGCTCGGAGGTTAGAGACTCGGTAAAGTGAGCCGGGCGTGGTGGCGCGCACCTGTAGTCCCAGCTACTCGGGAGGCTGAGGCAGGAGGATCAGTGGAGGCCAGGAGTTGGAGGCTGCAGTGAGCTACGACGGCGCCCCTGCCTCGAAACACACACGCGCGCGCACGGCACAGAGGAGCCCCGGAAAGCACTCACCGTTCGCCCGCCACGCCGCGTGCTGGAAGGCTAGCGTCTTCAGCTCTTCCGCCACCTCCTGGTCTGCGGGGAGGGTCTAGCCTGAGTCCAGGTCCTCGCCCGGCCGGCCCCGGGCTCTGCCCTCGCCCCGTCCTGCTCCCACTCACACTTAATCAGGGTCACGGCGAGCCCGAGGCAGCCCAGGAGCAGGGATGTCACCACCAGCACGCACAGGGGCACCACCAGCCTCACCTCCTGGCAGCACCCGGGACGGGCAGGCCTCGGGCCCGGCCAGGGCACGGGAGTCGCTGGAGGGTGGGGGTGGGGACAGAGGGGTTGACACCGGTGCTTCGGAGAGCAAGGGGAGAACCCCCCAGCCTCCCTCCTGGTCAGCAAGACAGCGCAGGGCGAGTGGACGCTCTGCGGAGGCCAGAGCATTTATGGAGCGTCTGCTGTATCCCAAGCAACGTCCTACACGTTTCTTATCTTATTGGATCCTTGCCCTCATGATGGAGATACAAGAATCATTCTGTTCTAGATGTTATCTGGCTATATAAACTATATGTGGATATTAAATGATTGGCACAGAAACAAAAAACAAAATTTAAAAAAAGAATTATTGTGATTTTTTTTTTTTTTTTAGAGATGGGGTCTTGCTACATTGCCCAGGCTTGTGTTTTGTTTTGGTTTTGTTTTTGAGACAGAGTCTCACTCTGTTGCCCAGGCTAGAGTGAGTGCCGTGGCGTCAGCCTCGCTCACAGCAACCTCAGACTCCTGGGCTCAAGCGATCCTCCTGCCTCAGCCTCCCGAGTAGCTGGGACTACAGGCACGCGCCACCATGCCCGGCTAGTTTTTTTTCTATGTGTTTTTAGTTGGCCAATTAATTTCTTTCTATTTTTAGAATAGAGACGGGGGTCTCGCTCTTGCTCAGGTTGGTTTCAAACTCCTGACCTCGAGCAATCCTCCCGCCTCGGCCTCCCAGAGTGCCAGGATGACAGGTGTGAGCCACCGCGCCCAGCAGAGGCTTGTCTTAAACTCCAGGCCTCAAATGATCCTCCTGCCTCAGCCTCCAAAAATGCCAGGACTAGAGGCATGAGCCACCACACCCAGCCAGAATTATTCCCATTTTATAAGTGAGTAGACGGAGGCTCGGTGAGGTTCCGCATGACTTGGACCCGGATCTGTGCTTAGTGTCTATGACGGATCATCTTCTACTCCCCGGCAGCCCCTCACCACGATGGTCCCTATTCCAGGGCGCCTGTGGACGCTTGCTCCCTGGGCAAAGAACATTTCCCACGTCTCATGCAAACAAGAGGCGGGTCTGAAGATCACCCAGCAGGCACCCTTGGTCCCTGGGGGGTCTGACCTTGACTCTGGGAGGAGCAGTTTCCTTTTTCTGTAGTTTTTTTTTTTTTTTTTTTTTTGGAGAAACAGGATCCTGCTCTGTCACCCAGGCTGGAGTGCAGTGGCATCATCACAACTCACAGCAGCCTCCAACTCCTGGGCTCAAGTGATCCTCCTGCCTCAGCCTCCAGAGTAGCTGGGACTACAGGCACCCAGCTAATTTTTTTTTTTTTTTTGCTTTATTTATTGTAGAGATGGGGTCTTGCTATGTTGCCCAGGCTGGTCTTGGACCCCCAGCCTCAAGCGATCCTCCTGTCTCAGCCTCCCACAACACTGGCATTAGAGGCTTGAGCCTCCATGCCCAGCCTTGGGGCAGCTTCTTAAAGAAGTTTCTCTGACTCAGGGTTTTCCTCCCGAGCCGTGGGTCTAAACCAGATACACCAGCTGCTGTCAGAGGGGAGGCAGGCGAAACCCGAGGGGGACGAGGACTTACCAGCTAGAGACCGCTGAGGTGGAAGAGGCTCCAGGTGGACCCCTGGGAGAAAGGGGGAGAGAGTTTCATTCAGGAGGTGCCTAAAAACTGTCTTCCAGCTGTAATCCTAGCTCTCTGGGAGGCCGAGGTGGGCGGATCATTTGAGGTCAGGAGTTCAAAACCAACCTGAGCAAGAGCGAGGCCCAGTCTCTACTATAAATAGAAATAAATTAATTGGCCAACTAATATATATAGAAAAAATTAGCCGGGCATGGTGGCGCAGGCCTGTAGTCCCAGCTACTCGGGAGGCTGAGGCAGGAGGATCGCTTGAGCCCAGGAGTTGGAGGTTGCCGTGAGCGAGGCTGACACCACGGCACTCACTCTGGCCTGGGCAACAGAGCGAGACTCTGTCTCAAAAAAAAACAAAAAACAAAAAATCCTGTCTTCCAGGATCAACAGCCTCTGCCTTTATTCTCTGCTCAGAATTAGGCAGCTGGCAGGAAACCTCCAAATGTCCCCTCCTGGGCTTGTTGAAGTGTCTCCCCACTGCTCACCTGGCTGAGGAGACGCACGGGTGACGGGGGGCAGGTCCGGGCCTGGAAGGGACCAGAAAGGCATCGGTCATTCGGGGAAGGGCCCGGCCAGGCGGGCAGGAGGTCCCAGCTGCGGCTCTCACCTGCTGTCCTCGGGGCCTTGCAGGGCAGTCGGGGCTTCTCCGCTTGCTTTTCTGGAGGGGGTGGGAGGGGCGCTCAGGCCAGAGCAGGGCAAAGCCGGCGCGGGGTCTCCTGCACCCCCAGCCCCAACTCACCTGTTCTCGGGGGCCTCGGCGGGGCAAGCCAGCCTGGAGGGGGGAAGCACGGGGTTACGGCGGGGCTGAACACGGGAATGAGCTCGAAGGAAGTGAGGGAGGCAGAGTTAGCCTTGCAGCAAAGGGCTGGAGATGGAGTTGGAGAGGAGGTTGGGCCAGGCACGGTGGCTCATGCCTGTGATCCTAGCTCTTTGGGAGGCCAAGGTGGGAGGATCACTTGAGGCCAGGAGGTTCAGACCAGCCTGGACAACATAGTGAGACCCTATCTATCTATCTATCTATCTATCTATCTATCTATCTATCTATCTATCTATCTATCTATCTATCTATATAAATTAGCCGGGCATGGTGGCGCATGCCTGTAGTCCCAGCTACTCGGGAGGCTGAGGCAGGAGGATCGCTGCAGCCCAGGAGTTCGAGGCTGCAGTGAGCTGCGATGGCACCACTGTGCTCCAGGGTGAAGAATGCAGTGGTTGCTGGGTTGGGGAACGGGAGAGACGCCAAGGTGGGGGTGTGGCGGGGGGATGAAGTGGTGATGAGGTTGGATTTGGAAACAGACTCGAGCTGCTTGTGGAGGTGGGGAGGGGGCGAGTGGGGAAGGGCTGGCCCTGAAGGTGACAGTGGACCTGCTCTTGGAGCTGGGTTTGCGGCTCACGTGAGGGCCGTGCTGGGGTTGGAGATGGGGCAGGCAAACGGCACAGCCCAGGTCACCTCCTGCTTCATGCAGAGCTGCACGTGTCCCTGGACACCCCCCCCCCACGAAGGCTGGCCTCGCTCTGGACTCAGAGTGGAGATGGAGAAGGCAGTCCTCGTGGAATGGCCCTGCCTACGGCGACCCTGCCCCTCTGTCCCCCCGGGGGCACTCAGCCGGCCTCCAGGAAGTGCCCTTACCTGGCTTGGGAGGAAGGTCCTTGTAGGGTGGTGTCGAGTTCTCATAATCGTCACGGTCATCTTCCTCCACGTACCCTTCCAGGGGACAGGCAAGGCCGGTGAGAGCCCAGTCCCCTCCTCCCTCTGTCCCGCAGCCCTGGGGGGCCCTGGCCCAGCCGCCCCGAGGGGAGGATGCCGCAGTCGGGTCCTGGCCATCGCGGCCCCAGCCCGAGCCCTGCCAGGCCTTACCTGGTGGCTCCGGGCAGCGGGGGGAGGGGTACATGGTGTGCGCACCTGCCAGCCTGGGCCCTGAGCTTCTCTCGTGGCCTCAAGGTCCCCGACGGGAGTTAACTGGGGACATGCCTCGGGGACTGTGCACCTAGCACCTGTCTCCTGGGCTTGTCTTCCTAACAAACGCCTTCTTGTCCCTCAAGTCCGGCTCCGAAGTCACCTCCTCTTACCTCCACTGCCCCCCATCCTGCAGGCAGAGCTGGCGGTTCTCCTTGGAATTTCCCCAATCTCTGGCTCCCTGTCCTGCTCGCCCCTCCGCCCTCAGACTGCCAGAGCCTCTCCCGCAGGCCTGGGTTCCCGCAGGCACCTGGCGCCGGTCGTGGGCCGGGTGCACAGGAGGCTGACTGCGCCCTGGAGGCCCCACTCCCCCTCTGTGCCCCCAGGGGCACTCAGCCCGCCTCCAGGAAGTCCCCTTACCTGGCTTGGGAGGAAGGTCCTTGTAGGGTGGTGTCGCGTTCTCATAATCGTCACCGTCATCTTCCTCTAGGTACCCTTCCAGGGGACAGGCAAGGCCGGTGAGAGCCCAGTCCCCTCCTCCCTCTGTCCCGCAGCCCTGGGGGGCCCTGGCCCAGCCGCCCGGAAGCGAGGATGCCGCAGCAGGGTCCTGGCCATCGCGGCCCGAGCCCGGCCGGGACTTACCTGTTGAGTCCGGGCAGCCGGGGAAGGGGTACATGGTGTGCGCACCTGCCAGCCTGGGCCCGGCAGCTTCTACCTCTTCTCCTTCCCACCCAGATGGCTGGGCTTCTCTCAGTTCCCTCTTCCTTTAAAAGTCAAGTACATGCAAATCTGCCTGGAGGGGAAGCCCCCAGACCCAGCCCCGACACACGCTCACTCGCCTTTCTCCCAAGCATAGAGGTGACCGGGACCACAGCCCCTGCAGCTGGGAGAGCCCCAAGCTTCAGCTGAAAGAGGTGGATGCGCCCTCCTTCAAGGAGAGGCAATAGGCCGGGCGCGGTGGCTCACGCCTGTAATCCCAGCACTCTGGGAGGCCGAGGCGGGAGGATCGCTCAACGTCAGGAGTTCAAAACCAGCCTGAGCAAGAGCGAGACCCCGTCTCTACAAAAAATAGAAAGAAATCAATTGGCCAACTAAAAATATATACAAAAAATTAGCCGGGCATGGAGGCGCATGCCTGTAGTCCCAGCTACTCGGGAGGCTGAGGCAGGAGGATCGCTTGAGCCCAGGAGATTAAGGTTGCTGTGAGCTAGGCTGATGCCTTGGCACTCACTCTAGCCCTGACAACAGAATGAGACTGTCTCAAAAAAAAAAATAAAATACATTAGTGAGAAAGCAAGTTTCAAAAACATTACTCCAGAGGGTTCCATTATATTTGTTTACATGATATATATCAACATTTATAGCTTCATTGAACGTTGAGTCAAATTACCCAAAAAGAGAATGTATTGTTTATGTTCTCGTCTTGTACTCACACATTAATACGTGCAGGACGGGTGTTTGTGGCATATCAAGGTGGTTCTCAACGAGGAGCAGCTTCGTTCCCCCTGGGGGACAGCCAGCAGCGTCGGGGGCATGTTCGATTGTCACAGTGGGGGTGGGGGTGCTTCCGCTAGAGCCTGCTGAGGGGGGGACGGCCCAACCCGCACCTCGGTTTCAGCCCTGGCGAAAGTGATTTTTGGTCTCCTGACCTCCAAAAACGGCAAAAGACTCAGTTTCCATCGTTTTAAGCCAGTGGTAGTTTGTTAGAGTCACCCTAGGAAACTAACACGTACCCCAAAAGGGAAGACCCCAGTTCCTTTTCGGGGGGGGGGGGGGCTTCCCACTGAAAGTAAGAGGAAGTGCAACTCAAATTGGTTCAAACGATTTGGAAAAAAAAAAAAAATCCATCAGCCCCATGTACGAGTTAGAAGGGTAGGCTGGGTTTCCGCAACAGAGACTCAGAGCTAGAGTAGCTTACACGGAACAGAACGTATGCCTCGCCTGACAGTCTCAAAATAAGCAAGCCGGCGTCCCCACAAGGGAAAAAGCTCTCCCGGCACGTGGGCGAGGGGCGCGGGCCCAGCCCTGGCGGAGGTAGAAGAACAGCAGCGGAGATCAGCCTCGACTTCCCTTAAGTCCCAGGGACTGGGATTCCGCCTGTCAGGCTGCCCTGACTCGTAGAAACTTCCAGACCTGCTTGTGGGCAGGTGTGACCACGTTACCCGTTTCAGAGGCGGGGAAATGTCGATCTGTCCGAGAAGGAAAAAAAGAGCCGGTCTGCAAAGGACACGAGCAGACATTTCTCAAAAGAAGACCTGCAAATGGCCAACGCGCGTATGCCAAAACAAGAAACGCTCAGCGTCGCCAGCCGTCAGAGAAATGCAAATCAAAACCACAAGGAGGTATTGTCTCACACCAGTTAAAATGGCTGTTACTAAAAAGTCAAGGCCGGGCGCGGTGGCTCACGCCTGTAATCCTAGCACTCTGGGAGGCCGAGGCGGGCAGATTGCTCAAGGTCAGGAGTTTGAAACCAGCCTGAGCAAGCGCGAGACCCGATCTCTACTAAAAATAGAAATAATTGGCTAACTAACATATATATAGAAAAAATGAGCCGGGCGTGGTGGCGCATGCCTGTAGTCCCAGCTACTCGGGAGGCTGAGGCAGGAGGATCGCTTGAGCCCAGGAGTCTGAGGTTGCTGTGAGCGAGGCTGACGCCACGGCACTCACTCTAGCCTGGGCATTGATTTACACGAAGAGCAAACGCCCGCTCAGCAAACACCTACTGAGCACGCACGGGGCTTATCAGCACACGGATTGGGGTGAGAAGAAGGGAATATGTCAGTCGGGGAGAGGTGGTATATGGGACTGGCAGCTTCTCTGCCTATCAACAGCTGTCTTTGACCGGGCGCGGTGGCTCACGCCTGTAACCCCAGCACTCTGGGAGGCCGAGGCGGGAGGACTGGTGAGCTCAGGAGTTTGAAACCAGCATGAGCAAGAGCGAGACCCCGTCTCTACTAAAAATAGAAAAATTAGCCGGATGTGTGTGTGGACACACGTCTGTAGTCCCAGCTACTCGGGAGGCTGAGGCAAGAGGATTATGTGAGCTCAGGAGTTTGAAATGTAGTGCACTATGATTGCACCTGTGAATAGCCACTGCACTCCAGCCTGGGCAGCACAGCAAGACCCATCTCGAAGAAAAGAAGGAGGAGGAGGAGGAGGAGGAAGGAGGAGGAGGAAGGAGGAGGAGGAGGAGGAGAAGAAAAAGAAAGCAGGAGACGGAAATCAGATATACCTGGGGAATTTGGAGGATTAAAATAAAGAGGAGAATCACAGACTAGGAATCATGCAAATTATATTCTAAGACCATAATCAAATTCATTAGAAATAAATAACAGAATGATATCCAGAAAATCCCCCAAAATTTAGAAATTTGACCCATGGGTCAACGAGGAAGTCAAAGTGGAAATCGAAAATATTTTCCATTGAATGAAAGTGAAAGCATAGTGTCTCAAAATATGTGGCATGCAGCTAAAGTGGCCCCAACAGGGAAACACATACCATTGCTGTCGTTTGAACACATGTGTCCATCCAAAATTCATATGTTGGAAACTTAATCCCCGTTGGTGATATTAAGAAGTGTGGCCTTTTGGAAAGTAATTAAATTGTGAGGGTTCTGCCCACGTGAATGAGATTAATGCCTTTATAAAAGAGGCTTCAGGCTGGGCACAGTGGCTCATGCTTATAATCCCAGCACTTTGGGAGGCCAAGGTGGGAGGATCACTTGAGCTCAGGAGTTTGAGACCAGCCTGAGCAACATAGCAAGACCCCATCTCTACAAAAAATAGAAAAATTAGTTGGGTGTGGTGGTGTGAACCCGTAGTCCCAGCTATTCGGGAGGCTGAGGCAGGAGGATCGCTTGAGCCCAGGAATTTGAGGTTGCTGTGAGTTATGGTGACGCCATAGCACTCTAGTCTGGGCAACAGAGCAAGACCTTATCTCAAAAGAGAAAAATTAAAAAAATAAAATAGCCATATTTAAAATTTCAAGCCAGCCTTTTTCATATACTCTATTGGCTATTTTTCTTCTCCTTGCACGTGTCTCAATTCCTTTTTTTTTTTTTTTTTTTTTGAGACAGAGTCTCGCTTTGTTGCCCAGGCTAGAGTGAGTGCCGTGGCGTCAGCCTAGCTCACAGCAACCTCAAACTCCTGGGCTCAAGCGATCCTCCTGCCTCAGCCTCCCGAGTAGCTGGGACTACAGGCATGCGCCACCATGCCCGGCTCATTTTTCTATATATATTAGTTGGCCAATTAATTTCTTCCTATTTATAGTAGAGACGGGGTCTGGCTCTTGCTCAGGCTGGTTTCGAACTCCTGACCTCGAGCGATCCTCCCGCCTCGGCCTCCCAGAGTGCTGGGATGACAGGCGTGAGCCACCGCGCCCGGCCAGAGTGGCTTTATTTTCAAATGTCAATATGCCCCGACTAACCTTGAGTCTGGAACTGCCCCCGAAATGTCTAGCTGCTACATTCCTCTTTGTATAGAAACACCCACTCTTTGTTAGTTTCACCTTTCCTCCAGAGCAGCCGTCTGTGTCGCTGCATGTGTAAGAGGCTGTGACGTGGCCACCTACATATGTTCCTCCCAGAGCACGTGTGCTTCTTCCCCGCGGTGCTTCCCCGGGCTGGGTCTAGGGGGTTGCGGTTGAGCTCTGCCTGCCTTGTAGCCACCCGAGGCTACGCTGTGTCGGTGAGTTCCCCTAAACCAGTCATCCTATACCTCCAAGCTGGATCTGTCTGCCTCGCTCTTTGGTCCCTCAGTTCCCGGAGCACTTGGGGCTTGCTTTGCATGTACGGCCCTCTCATGGAGCGCCCAGGCAGGGGCACCGGCCCACTCAGGGGACCGCACATGTTACAGACACACGCACAAAACTGCACTGAAGAACACAGGTTGGCCGGGCGCGGTGGCTCACGCCTGTCATCCCAGCACTCTGGGAGGCCGAGGCGGGCGGATCGCTCAAGGTCAGGAGTTCGAAACCAGCGTGAGCAAGAGCGAGACCTCGTCTCTACTATAAATAGAAAGAAGTTACTTGGCCAACTAATATATATAGAAAAAATTAGTTGAGCATGAAGGTGTAGTCCCAGCTACTCGGGAGGCTGAGGCAGGAGGATCGCTTGAGCCCAGGAGTTTGAGGTTGCTGTGAGCTAGGCTGACGCCACGGCACTCACTCTAGCCTGGGCAACAAAGCGAGACTCTGTCTCAAAAAAAAAAAAAAAAAAAAAAAGAAAACAAAAAGAACACAAGACACCACGGTCACTTGGGATCCCATGATCGGAGCTGGCATCGAACCGGAATTCTAAATGTGGCAAGGTTGCTCTCGGCAGTAACGCCGCCCAGGCCCCCGGGGAGTGTCTCCTGCTTCTCTGGCCAATGTTCTGGATCCTGTGACTTCTGGTTGTGTCACTGCCAAGGACAGAAACAGTGAGGTCTGTTTGTGCACCACGCAAGCTTAAGTAGGAGAAAAGGGGAATTGCATCACATGTTAGCTTCCTAGGGCTCCCATAAACAAAGGGCCACAAACCGGTGGCTCTTTTTTATTTGGAGACAGGGTCTTGCTCTGTCACCCAGGCTGGAGCAGAGTGGTACAATCACAGCTCACTGTAACCTCGAACTCCTAGACTCAAACGATCCTCCCGCCTCAGCCTCTGGAGTAGCTGGGACTACAGGTGTGCGCCACCATCCTCAGCTAAGTTTTTCTCATTTGTTTATAGACATGGGGTCTCACTATGTTGCCCAGTCTGATCTGGAAGGCCTGGCCTCAAGTGATCCTCCCACCTCAGCCTCCCAAAGCACCGGGATTACAGGTGTGAGCCACCACACCCACCCTAAGTGCTTTATAAACA